TAGGACCAGGATACAGGGTGTCCCAGTCTCATGGCTCCCCATGCGGGTGCACATGTCCAGTCCTATAGCAAGTGTCAAACATGGTGGCCTTGTGGTCCTGGCCGGTGCTCCTGGATGGTGATCCTGGCCAGATTAGCACTGGGTGGCTATCACAGCCCCCAAAGCAAACCTCTGGATGAGTTTCTTTGATTCAAATGGTTTTTTTTTTCAGGTACTTTGTTTACAATTCAGAAAAATCCTCCAGCCTGTTTACAGACCACTGATCTTTGTGGTACTGAATCTACTTGTTCTCCACTTCACTGGTCCCAGCAGCTGGAATGCCACAGATCCCAGAATCTCCTTTTATATACCGCATTCTATCCTGGCTCTGGGATGCCTGTGATGGCTGATGCCATGATTTCCCTTCCTCCATCCCCAGCAGATGAACATCATCAGCTTCCAGACTGTTTTTCCCCATCATGAAACTGCATTTGCAAACATCCTGAGAATCCTAACTTTTGGATGGGTGGGGAGGGCAGTCAGTAGTTATGACCTCAGCAATGACAGATGATGTCTGAGCCAGGCCCTGAGTTGGCAGGTGGCTCCAGCAGCTCCAGTGTGCACACTGGGCATCCCTGGCATGCTGACCATGTGTAACACTGACCATCCAAACAGCAATTGGATGTAGTGGAACTTGTTTGCTAATTAATGGCTGTCTTACGGATTCTGCTGCTCCCATGTTTTGTGTGATCCACAATATGTAAATGGCCCTTTGGAGCACTGGGCTCACTGGCAGATGCTGCACTTCATATCCCAAAAAGGAAGAGTCAAAACCCCCAGCATGCAATATGCTGGGCACAAGGATCCATCACAGTACATAATATTTCAGTCGTGGGTTCCTTGGATCCATTCCAGGCAGGAATTTCAAATTCATTAGCACTTCACCTGACCTCTCTCTGTTGCTAGAACAGGTGGGTAGTTATTCCCACGGCCTGCTGCTGGCTGGGTACCGCGCTGTGCCTGCCGCTCACCCAGGTGAGGGGCTCAGAACAGGGGTTGGGGTTACTCTGGCCATTCCCCGGCACCTCTCAGACCCTGCAGAGGTTTGTGGTGGGAGTCTGCCCTCTGGAAGTGCTGGCCAGAGGGCCTGTGTGTGCCCCAGGATGCACCAGGGGCTGTTGGGGCTGTCAGCCCCTGACAGGAGCAGGTGGCTCCTCTGGAAGCAGTGGAAATCCTCCAGTGGGTCTCACAGAGCCAAGTGTGGTGCTGGAGCTGGAGTGTGCCCCAGCTGCCCCTACATCCTGCCTGCATGTGGTCCCCTGTGAGCTCAGGGCTCCTCCTCTGTGCAGGGATGGCTGTTCTGCAGCTGCCAGGGCTGGGGCTGGCGGGTGCCTGCCATCCGCGCTGGAGGACAGCCGGTGCTGGGGTGGAGTGGAGGTCCGTGTTCCAGAGCTGGGCTGGAGGTGGCGTGAAGGCCAGAAGACACTTGGCAAGGGAGGGACTGTGGGAGTGTCACCCACTGTGTGGGCACATCCCACCTGAGAGTGGCCAGGGGAAGGTGGGCATGGGGTGACAGTGCTGGAGGGGTCCCTGTCCCCTTGAGCCCCAGTCCTGCCCAACCACTGTCAGACCTGCTCCATACCTGAGAAATGGGGGTAGGAAAAGACTTCCTCTGCTCAGGGACGGGAGCAGCAGTCTAGGGCCTCCAGTCAGTCACCTCCAGCCGATGGGGGAGCAGTGGAGGGGCTCCCAGCCCCTGGCAGTGTGCTGGGGCTTGTAGGTTCCTGGCTCTTTGGAGACACTGTTCCCACTCTGTGTGACCATAAGCAGTGCAGCCCAGAGCAACTCGAACTTAGGTTTTATAGACAGGTGAATGACTCAAAATGATCAAATGTAGCAACAGAATGGATGTAAAGAGTATATGTGAGAGGATTTTTTTGTGAATCACAGATGTCACGTGAAGAGCTTGACTACCCTTGTCCTATTGCAGGCGCTGAGCAGTAAATGGGCAGTGCTTACCTTCCCAGGAAGCTGGCATTTGTTTTATGTGTGAATGCAGCTTCCTTTCTGTTTTTCTATCTTTTAAGCAAGTAATAAGAATCACATATTGCTTTTGTTAGTCAAAAAGGTGTTTTCTGCAATGAGCTCTAAGCCATGCCAGAACTGCTATCTCTGCAGATTACCTGTGTGGGCGATGAGGTATGCTGGGGGAGGAGGGCACACATGTCCAGGCTCACTTTCAGCAGATGTGATTTTTGATGGCTCTCCTCCTGAGCCAGCAGGTCCTGCAGTTTGTGTTGTCATCTAGGATGTCTCAGTGGTGGAGCTCTGCCACAAGACTGCTGCACTGAGCACTCTGGGAAGAAACGCTCTGCGTTTTTTCAGCAAGGAGATGAAGTATTTATGCTACCCCTGCAGCAAGGGATGGTGCCCAGGCTGGGGAGGATGGGCTATCCCCATCCCTGCACAGCCTGGGGTACCAGCTTCCTCATGTAGATCCAGGTGTGGCTTTGCTGTTTCCATCAGTTGAGGCGTCCAGATGCCAAATCCTCACTGGTCTTTGTTGCGCTCAGGGCTGGTGGGTGCTCAGCACCAGAACCTCTCCATAAGGACCCCATGCTCTCAAAGCCTCAGTCCCTCCTCCTAATTCAGTATCACTGGCAGATGTATGTGGGGTGCACTCTTCTCCCTGCTCAGGTCACTGAGAGAGACACGGGAGGGGACTGTCCCTAAACCCAAGTCATGGGGACAGTGCTGGTGACTGGCCACTGGCTGGTCTTGCCCCATTTACTGCAGGCCTTTGAGCCTGGTGTTCACTGAGGGCATTGTGTCCAGCTCTGGCCATATGCTGGGCATTTGACCGGAGATACTGGCAGAGATAATATCCAAAACTCTCTTAACATCCAAAAAACCCACCTCTGCTGGTAGGTAACTTTATGGTAACCTTGTCATCCCAGCTGTTAAGTCGATTCATCTTGTAATGGCATTTCCAAACTCGTGAGCTTGCTGATTTGGATTCAAGCTTGTGTTAGTCTTGGGTAGCTCTAGCACTGGACTCGGCTGAATCCAGGCACATGACTTCAATCATAGCAATGAATCTAAATTGGCAGCACTAAGTTTGCAAATTTAAATGAATGTGGTGTCCCCAGCCAAGTCTGGCCAGCGACCCCTGCAGTGGCTGTGCTGCAGATGCCCTGATTGCAGTCTAGTTCTTACCAGGTGTACATGGAAGGAGCAAAGTCCCACCTGGAAAGGACAGGTGCTAGTCCCTGGCCATGAAGTGCACCTGCTGGGTTGGGAGGTGGCTGGTGGATGACACCAGTAGTGTTTGGAGGCTGCAGGAGGCAGTTTCCTCCACTGCTTGACATTGCCATTCCCCTCCAGGTCCTTATCACCTGCAGGGCCGCCCTGATTTGCAGTGCTGTCATGAAAGTGAGTCCATAGAACATACCTGAATACTGCCATGGCACTTTGCTTTCTGCCACAAGTCACGACAGCAAGAATGGTGATGGTTATACTGCTTATGGGAGCAGCTCCCAGCACTGCCCACAGTAGCAGACTCTGCTTTGGACCACAGTGGCAGTCTTTTATTTTTCCAGTGGGAACTCTGAAGTTGGAGTAGTCCTGAATACTTGCAGTCCGCAGAAGTATCAGGAAAAAGTACATTGATTGTGCTGAAAAGCAGGGTTTAAGGCTGGTATTTTCACTAATCTTTTTGTTGCCTCTGCTTGAACAGCACCACGGATTTGGTTTATGTTTTGGATGGACCAGACAACAGGAGCAATAATTGTTGTTCTAACATTAAATGTCTTTAAATATCAGTGACGATTCAAGACCACTGGTTCTGTCTAGCTGTGAAACCGTATTTTAGCAGAGCTTCATTAATGGATCTCTGGGATGGTAACGGGTCTGAGTAATCAGATCTGACCATGTAAAATTGTTCTGGTCCCAAAGGGAGCTGAGTGCCTCAGCTGCAGCATGGAGCCCCTCTGAGCACCACTGCTCACAGTGGCACAAGTTCCCTCCCAGACACGTGGGTGCTCCTGCACGCGACCATGCTCCCACCTGCTCCACAGAGGAGCATCCCCCAGCCCTCCCACCTGCCCGTGCCACGGAGCCTTGGCACAGCCACTGGTGGATGATCTCACTGAGCTGGAGTGGGCACTGCTGCTGTCGGCCCTGTTCCCACTTGTCACGAGGAGCTGGGCCTGGCAGTGGAAGTGATAAAGCTGATTGAACTGCTGGGCTTTCCGGGGGAGCCGGAAAACAGATCTGCTAAAATTAGCCCAAGATCCATTTTTATTTAGATCTTTGTTGTGGGGGCTTTTCTTGGACTTTGTGGGGGTTTTTTTTTGGGTTTTTTTTTTTTGGTTGTTTTTTTTTGTTTGTTTGTCTGGTTGGTTGGTTGGTTTTTTGGGTTTTTGTTTTGTTTTGTTTTGTTTCGTTTGCATTTTTGGGGTTTGAATGACATAAAATTAGCTCCTTTTGAGTTTATTCTGAAAATAGCATTAAGAGCTTAAATGTTCAGTGGAGATGGCTGTAAACCCATTGACCTGCTGTGATTTCAACGCTGCTGAGAATTTCAGCTCAGCAAGTGAATCACACATGTACCACTCCCCATTTTCTATACCTGGATATTTGTCACTGTGGCCAACAGCCTGGGAGGTCAGGGGCTCTGCTGGGATGTGGAGGTGCGCTGGGCAGGAGGATGGGCCCGAAGGGTGGCAAGTGGCTTCTCAATCGCTTTGTCATTTGTATGTGAGTGTCAGGGTGGGCATATGTGCACCTGCAAACATCCAGATTCTCAGCTGTACTCCTGGCGGGCAGTACAGGCACTTTTGTGTCAGGATGGGGAACGAAGAACCAGGTAACATGGTGAGGGTGACCCGCTGCTACCTGAGCTTCAGTTCCATGGTTTAACCACAGACTGCCTGTCTTGGCTTTTTTCATTATGTCTGTCTTATCTCACAGATACTAACCGCTGTTTGCTCTGTCTTGCAGGCTCTTGAATCTGTTCTACAATGGAAAAACTGCTTTTGTTTCTGCTGTTGATTGGCGTAGCGGTGCGAGCTCAGATCTGCCCCAAGCGCTGTGTCTGTCAGATCTTGTCTCCGAACCTCGCCACCCTCTGTGCCAAGAAAGGGCTCTTGTTTGTTCCTCCCAACATTGACAGGAGGACCGTGGAGCTGCGGCTGGCAGACAACTTTGTTACAAACATTAAAAGGAAAGACTTTGCCAACATGACCAGCCTGGTGGACCTGACGCTGTCCCGGAATACAATCAGTTTTATCACACCTCATGCATTTGCCGACCTGCGCAATTTGCGGGCTCTGCATTTGAACAGCAACCGATTGACTAAAATCACTAATGACATGTTCAGTGGGCTCTCCAATCTCCACCACTTGATACTGAACAATAATCAGCTGACCTTAATTTCTTCCACAGCTTTTGATGATGTTTTAGCTCTGGAGGAATTGGATTTGTCTTACAACAATCTGGAAACCATCCCTTGGGATGCCGTGGAGAAAATGGTCAGTTTGCACACTCTCAGTCTTGACCACAACATGATTGACCATATTCCTAAGGGGACCTTCTCCCACCTCCACAAGATGACCAGGCTGGACGTCACATCCAACAAACTGCAGAAGCTACCACCTGATCCGCTCTTCCAGCGTGCTCAGGTGCTGGCAACCTCAGGAATTATCAGCCCCTCAACATTTGCGCTGAGCTTTGGTGGGAACCCCTTGCATTGCAACTGTGAGCTTTTGTGGCTGAGGCGCCTTTCCAGGGAGGATGACCTGGAGACCTGTGCCTCTCCTACACTCCTGTCTGGCCGGTACTTCTGGTCGATCCCTGAGGAGGAGTTCCTCTGCGAGCCCCCGCTCATCACCCGGCACACCCACGAGCTGCGGGTGCTGGAGGGGCAGCGGGCAGCCCTGCGCTGCAAGGCCCGGGGTGACCCTGAGCCAGCAATCCATTGGATTTCACCTGAGGGCAAACTGATTTCCAACGCGACCAGGTCCACGGTGTACGACAACGGGACGCTCGACATCCTTATCACGACGGTGAAGGACACGGGCTCCTTCACCTGCATTGCTTCCAACCCAGCAGGGGAGGCCACACAGACAGTGGACCTGCACATCATCAAACTCCCCCACTTGCTGAACAGCACAAACCACATCCACGAGCCTGACCCAGGCTCCTCGGATATCTCCACATCCACCAAGTCGGGCTCCAATGCGAGCAGTAGCAATGGGGATACTAAAGTCAGCCAGGATAAGAAGGTGGTTGTTGCAGAAGCGACATCTTCCACGGCTCTGCTGAAATTCAATTTTCAGAGGAATATACCTGGGATACGTATGTTTCAGATCCAGTACAATGGTACTTACGATGACTCGCTTGTTTACAGGTAAGGCAGCCCCAGCCTGCCCATGTGGGACCGTGCTGGGTGCTTGGTGCGGGCGTGTGGCCCCTGGCCTGGGCAGCCCCTCTGCCGGAGTTCCTGTGCCATGCTGTGCCAGCCGAGCGGAGCCCGGCCCCAGCAGCTCATGGTGCGAGCCTCAGGAAGGACTTGTGCCATTTCTGCTCACAAATGGGAAAATTATAACTTAATTAACTAATTATTACTTAGAACAGTATTATTTTTAGATAATCCAACTGGACCTCTAATCCTCTGAACTGATCTGAGAAAGGTTGTGAAAGTAGATGGATTAAATGGATCCTAATGTGCTCAACTTTATGGAAGCACAGGGAAGACAGTGTCTGTGACCATGTTTCCTCACAGCACTGTCAGGTGGTGCCTGTGCTGTGAAGTGCTCTGTGCTGCCTGGTGTAGCTGTTGCACGCTTCAGCACCGGCTTTGCTTTGTCATCTCTTCTGTGAATTCCTTCATCCATTACTAGGACAAGGGGTGCTGGCTTTAAACTGAAAAAGGGCAGATGTAGATCAGATAACTGAAAAAAATTCTTCCCTATGAGGACAGTGAGACCCTGGCACAGGTTCCTCAGAGAAGTTGTGGGTACCCTATCCATGAAGTGTCCAAGGCCAGGCTGGACAGGGCTTGGAGCAACCTTGTCTAATGAAAGGTGTTCCTGTCTACGGCAGGAGGGTGGACTCAATGGTTTTTAAATGTTGCTTCCAACCCAAGGCATTCTGTGATCCTGTGATTCCATATTTTTGATGTGGCTGTTCTAATGGGGGGTCCTGCCATGCTGAGCCATGCCAGGGGGCTTGGCAGTGACTGCTGCTACATCAAAGGCCAGGCAGGAGCTGCTGGGGGGATGGAGATCGGCCCACTGGGGGCTGCGGCAGAAGTAGGACGGACAAGCCGTGGTGGTGCCCAGCATGGCCTGGGCTGCCCCACAGGGTGGGAAGGTGCCGGTGTGTCTGCCAGGTTCATTTATACTGGTTTCCTTCTCCCCCAGAATGATACCTCCCACGAGCAAAACCTTCCTGGTCAACAACCTGGCTGCGGGGACGATGTATGACCTGTGCGTGCTGGCCATCTACGATGATGGCATCACCTCGCTGACGGCCACCAGAGTCGTGGGCTGCACACAGTTCACCACCGAGCAGGATTACGTGCGCTGCCACTTCATGCAGTCCCAGTTCCTGGGTGGGACCATGATTATCATCATTGGTGGGATCATTGTGGCATCTGTTCTCGTGTTCATCATCATCCTCATGATCCGCTACAAGGTGTGTAACAACAACGGGCAGCAAAAGGCCACCAAGGTCAGCAATGTGTACTCGCAGACGAACGGGGCTCAGATGCAGGGCTGCAGTGGGGTGCTGTCCCAGTCCATGTCCAAGCAGGCTCTCGGGCACGAGGAGGGCATCCAGTGCTGCAAGGCTGCCGGCGATGGTGTGACGCAGTCACCGGACACCGGCTCCAGCCAGGACTCAGCCACCACTACCTCCGCTTTGCCTCCCGCCTGGACTTCCAGCACCTCCCTCTCGCAGAAGCAGAAGCGAAAGTCGGGGCCAAAGCCCGGCAGCGATCTGCAGGGCGAGGCTGGCGGCAGCGCCGAGCCCCAGAACTCGAACAGAAATAACTCCACGGCCCTGCAGTTAGCAAGCCGCCCCCCAGACGCGGCCCCCGCGGCCCACACGTACAAAAGAGCACAATCAAAGCCAAGTAAGTTCCTCACTCTGCCGGCGGACGCGTCCCGAGCCAAGCGCCGGCGCTCGCTGGGCGGTGAGCTGCTGGAGCCCCGCGGCTCCGGCGGACTGCGCTCCAAGCGGAGCATGTCCATGAACGGGATGCTGGTCCAGGCAGACTGCGCCAGTGCCGATAGCGGAAAAGCAACTTTCTCCAGTTCTGAGTGGATATTGGAAAGCACTGTGTGACCTGCTTTTTTTTTCTTTTTTCTTTTTTTTTTTTTTTTTTAATTTTTTGTTTTAACTAAAAACAAAACACCAAACATTGTGTGAAACTCCCTTTCCCAGGGAATTGGATTTGGATGTCCACTGCTGTCTCGCTGATTAATGGCTTGTTCATGCGGGGTTCTGTATAAGCCACCCAGTGCACACGGGGGGGTTATTTAGTTTTCGTTTGGTTTTATTTAATATCAAAACCGAAGGCAACATTCAGAGATTTAAAAAAAAAAAAAAAAAAGGAAAAAAAGATTAAGGGGCGAAAAAAAGCACGAAACAGCACCAGTGCCTTCCCTGCTCTAGGACTGGCTTCCTGGTTCTGCGGTAGCAGAAAACAAAAGAGAGAGTTTTCACAGAAAAAGCCTTTTATAAAGGAAATGCAATTTCCTCCAAGCTAACAAATAATCACTTCTGGATCAATTAGTAAAATGATATTTTTTAAACCGGTCAGACTGTATATTTCTTTTTCGTGACAATGGTGTTGCCTTTGTTTTTAGGCAGATGCTGTACAGGAGCAACAACGCGGTGTTGTTATGTTGTGTAAAATAAAATATTCACTCGGTACGCCAGCCAGCCTCGCGGTGACTGCCCTGCCGGAGCCGGGCCGGGGCCCCGGTGCTCCACAGCTCCTGCCGTGGGGCCGGGAGGAGGATGAGGAGCGGGGTCCATTCCCTTGTGCTGGGTCTGGCTGGCCGGGGCTGGGCGCTGCTGAAGCAGTGGGATCGCACACCGCTTCTCCCTGGAAAGGTGCCTGACCCACGGTCCCAGAGCAGCCACAGCCCGGGGTGCAGGCACCACTCCTGCAGCCCCTGGGGAGGGAGCGGGGCTGGGGGCTCGGGGTGCAGGGCAGGGCTGAGCAGGGCGGTGAGCGGGGCTGGCAGGCCAGGTGGGCAGCAGGGCTGCAGCCGGCAGGGACGCGGCCGTTCGGCACCTCGGTGGCTGGTCGGGTGATGATGGCCATCTCCCGCTGTCCTGGACTTCTGGGACGTATTTCCTCTGAACTTTATGGTTTGATCCAGTTCTTTTCAGTCCCTGAGTGTGTTGAAGGGCCTGGGAGATGATGGTCTCTCCTTTAAGCTGCTCTTAATTGCGGTGCCTGTGGGATAGAGTGATTTTGGGCCACTCTGTAGGGACAGAACCCCACAGCAGCAGGGGACAGTGGGTGCAAATTTTGTTGTGGGGATGGCAGCTGCTCTGCTCACTGTAAAGTGAGTTAATATTAATTAAACTCATGTGGTCATCATATTCAAATTAGAGACCGCTTAACGCTGAATATTTGAGCATTGTGCATTCTCAGATGCCAAATAATGGGTTCAAGATGGGCTTTGTGGCCATAAAAGTGAGAGAATAGTTAAATTTTATACCCTGTATGTTTGTTCCTGGGGGCACCATAACTAAGGCAGGTGCCTGAGGCCAGCCTGGCTCCAGCCAGGGCAGCAGGAGGCCCCAGGGCAGCTGTGGGGGAACTTCTCAGAGTGGGAACAGCCCCTGGCACCCCGTCTCTACCGCTGGGACTCTGCAGCACAGGGCTGGTGCTCTTGGCCATTGTGGGTTGCTGTGGGTGATTTTATTGCCTGCTTGGAGGAACAAAGTCAATGACAGTGGTGTAAAGGTCCTAAAAGGAAGAGGCTGCTTCTTTTTTAGAAACGCTTCTTGCTTCCCACAGGAAATGCAGAGACCAAATATGAAAGCCTCAAAATGAGAAAACCTGCTTCCTGCTGGAAAAATTTAAAAAAAGTACAATAAATCCCTCCTTGGATTGCTCTGGCAACCCATGAGCACTGCACAAACAGAAGGGAGGTATTGAATAACATGCTGTCAAGGACAGGGGAGGTCTGCCCAGGGTCTGGCAGTCTGATGACAAGGGCTGTGCCCAGTGTGGGTCAAATGTGAAGGTCTGAGCCCCAGTGAGGGACTGTGCTGGCAGAGGCACCTTCCCCACCACGCTGGGGTAGAGGGAGATTGTCAGAGGTTTGCTGTGGAATGGTTGGGTTTAATCGTGCATTTTGAAAACGTCAAATGAAAATGCTTTTATATGTTGTCTAAAACTGGACCTAAATCTGTGTGATGTTTTGTGAAAGTGCTAAAATACTAATGGTGTCTTGTGGTTTAAGGAAATTTATTTTTATATTTTTAATTTTTCACTCAAAGGAATAATTTTCTAAGCACCGCAGCTGATGTTGTGTCCATGGTGCCTCTGTGTTAAGCAGTGTACAGGGACCATATGACCCTGTGTTTGGTTTGATTCTCTGTTGACAGTGCAAGAAAGGGGATCTGGGGGTTCCTCTTGTGCCTGCTTCTCTCCCTGGCTGAGAGGATCATCCCTTGGGAATGCCCTGGGCATGGAATCATCTGTTCCCACTGGCATAACTCTGCAGTGGGACATTTAGTTTTATTCAGGCTTGTTTCAAAGTTTGGGAAGCCTCATGGAGGAGGAAATTCTCTGTCCTTTCTGTTCTGCAAAAACCATAGGTTGCCAACTGTGTGAGACAGAAAAAGTGCTAAGATGCTCCTGGGTCAGACTAGGTTCAAGGTTATTTCCCCCAGACTGGATAGCTCCTCCCCGTAGGAGGTGATGGGATGGGGGGTGTGATGTGCTGTGGCCCCAGCATCACCCCCAGCTGCAGAGGGCTCTGCAGGGACATGAGCCCAGGGTGCCTCCCTGCCCCTCAGGCATCTCCTGCCTGCAGGTGGGCTCAGTGTGCTCCTGCTCTGCCACAGATTATCTGAGATATGAGCCCTGAGAGGGTCTCTGTTCACAGGCACTGCTGGATGAGAAACTGCTTCAGAAAGTTCTCAGCTCTTGCTGCAATGTCTGGAACACACGGTGTGCCCAGGCCTTCTCTGGAGGTGGGGCTCTGTGCGGGGCTGGTGTGGCTGTGCCTGGACAGAGGAGGGTCTGGCTGTCACAGGGGCACAGACCCCATGGAATGGCCTGTCCAGGGTGTTGTGTTTTGTCTCTCGTGTCTGCTGCCTTCCCGCTGTGTCCAGGCTCGTCCTTACCGTGAATTCACGGTGCTGCTTCGCTCTGCTGCCGGCGTGGCTTCATTTCTGCAGCACATCCCCAAGCGTTCACCAGCCCTCCCCTTGTGCCCACGTGCCACGTCTGCAGCCATGGCACGGCCACGTGCCCTGTGCATGGGAGAGGGGACACAGCTCCTGGGCACCCTCTGCCCTGGCTGGGGCACGCTGCCTGCCGGGGAGCTCCTGCAGAGGCACTGGCACGAGCTGCGCTCAGCCCTGCTGGCAGAGGAGCTGCTGGGGGCTTGGTGTCAGCAGCGTGGGGATGCTCCTGCCTCCTGGGGACCATGGCAGCCCTGCTGGGCATTGCCCTGGGAGCATCCCAGACCAGTGGAGTGACACGGAACCGTGGTGGGTGGACAGTCCTGTGCAGCTGTGTGTGCTCGAGAAGGTGCAGTAGGGCCCTTTGTGTGCCATGGCAAGACTGCCTGAAGCCATGGTGGGCACCCAGCACAGAGAGGGGGCACGCTGCTTCCTTGGGAATGCCTTCAAACCAGGAGTAATGGCTACAGCTGCTACCAGGATCACTTCTCTTCCCATCAGCCAAGGGGAAGCAGAGCCCCAGTGACGCTGGAGCTTTGGTGGTACTGGAACCCGAGCGCTGCCACTGGCAGAATGGTCACAGCTGGCAGCGCTGTGATTGCTCAGGAACATTCACCTCCCTGTTCCATGCTGCTGCTGCCCACTCAGGGTGCACCATCGCTGCCCAAAAGCTGCACTAACAGCAGCCACCCAGTTGCCCAGTGCCTTCTCCTGGCAATAATTTTAATGTTGGTCAGAGTTCTGACTTAAAAACAGCAAACTGTGGCCGGTCCATAGGGTCCTGCTTGCAAATAACATGGTTCTCCCATTTCTCCTTTGCAAACGTGTCCCTGTGTGCCTGGCTGTGTGTTGGGCCTGGGGCAGAGCCTGTGCTGCCAGACCACGCTGTGCTGGGGTCGTCACCCACCGTGGCCCCTCAGCCCAGCTGGGGCTCCCCGCAGGCCAAGCACCAAATCCTCAGCCACTGGTTCTGTGGTGCTGCACCCCCTGTGCCTGTGGAATTGTCCCTGGGGACATCAGGCACAGCAGAGGGGTCTGGCTGGTGCCAGCCCACCTGCTTAGCAGCAGCTTCTCCACCCTTCCCTGCCGGCTGCGGGCAGGCACACGTGGAGTGCAAGGAAAAGCAGCTGTGAATAGGAACCCCTGTGTCCTGTCTGTGACATGTGTGCCAAGGCCTGGAGAGGGGCTGAGGTCTGGCACAGTGGCACAGACCCCAGGGAACAGGCCTGTGTCGGGTGTGGTGCCCGGGACAGCACCCACACCCTGCCAGCCCAGTAAAAGGTGAATCCTACTGCGTTTGTTGACTGTGGACTTCTAATGCAATGATTCATTCACAGGAGCCAGTGTGAGGGCTCCTGCTGGAGAGAAAGGGAAGCTTGGCTTGGAAGGAAGGAAACTTGAAAGGGGAAGAGCAAATGTGGCACATGGCTGGCTGCAGACCCCACATGAGGGACTGTGTTTGTATTAAAATGAACAGAGTAAGCTCCAGGTTTTGTGGTGCTGTGTCACCTCAGGTCGTTACAAGAGCTGCACTTTAGAGGCATCTGGGTCAGGAATCTGCAAAGTGAGCCCAGGCTGGTGTGCCTGGCTTGGTGTGAGCTGGTTTACCTCCTACACGGCCAGGATGCTGCTCTGGAAGCACCCACAGTGCTGTGTGCAAGCTGTGCCATCTCCTCTGCAGGGGAAATTCCCACTTGGAGAGGGAATGAGGAGAACCAGGCAGGGTTGGAGCCCAGCCCCCTCTGGGGACACACAGGGACCCCCACCTGGCCTAAGCCTGGGGTCCCCGTGGCCAGTCTGTAGTCTGGGGGCTGTAACCCACGGCAAAGATGAGTTTAAAGTGGTGCCTGATTGGTATTTAAGTATGGCAGTGGCACATCTGCACTCCCCGGGGTGACTGGGGCTGTGCT